CATCTTTCTAAATAGTTGCTCACCATATCCAGGATGACCGAGAGAGAACAGCTTCGACCCTCCGGGGGGATTTCTACATCACCGGGGACCGAGGATTTCAAGATGAGGACGGCTACATCTGGCTGGTAGGGAGAAGAGACGATGTCATCAATTCGGCCGGGTAAGGGGAATTCACCTGAACGCTTTTCTTGTAAGACTTCTTCAAAGGCCAAGGAGATTCAACTCTTCCTTTTTTTTTTTCCTTTCTCAAAAGATACCGCATCGGACCATTCGAGGTGGAGAACGCTTTGCTAGAACATGATGCTGTGGTCGAAGCAGCCGTGGTCAGCAGTCCAGACCCTATTCGTGGCGAGGTAAAGGAGGCTGAACTTACTGGAATATAGAAATAGGTAATGGGATGAGAATAGAATAGAATAGAATGGAATGGAATGGAATGGAATGGAATGGAATGGAATGGAATGGAATAGAATAGAATAGAATAGAATAGAATAGAATAGAATAGAATAGAATAGAATAGAATTGAATTGAATAGAATAGCATATAGAAATAGGGAATGGAATGGAATAGAATCGAATAGAAATAGGGAATGGAATGAAATAGAATAGAACAGAATAGAATAGAATAGAGAATAGAATAGAACAGAACAGAACAGAACAGAACAGAACAGAATAGAATAGAATAGAATAGAATAGAATAGAATAGAATAGAATAGAATATAGAATTGAATTGAATAGAATAGCATATAGAAATAGGGAATGGAATGGAATAGAACAGAACAGAATAGAGAATAGAATAGAATAGAATAGAATAGAATAGAATAGAATAGAATAGAATAGAACATAGAATTGAATTGAATAGAATAGCATATAGAAATAGGGAATGGAATGGAATGGAATGGAATGGAATGGAATAGAATAGAACAGAACAGAATAGAATAGAATAGAATAGAATAGAATAGAATAGAATAGAATAGAATAGAATAGAATAGAATAGAATAGCATGTAGAAATAGGGAATGGAATGGAATAGATTAGAATAGAATAGAATCTTTCTAAAAGGGGTACTATGAAAATTTTTGCATTTTTTAATCTGCCCAGTTTTTTTTTTCAAAATGTCCTC